AGCGAGTGCACTGGGCCACCTTCCAAAAAGGAAACTAGCCCAACCTAGGATCTCCCAACTACAACCATTTTCCACTGACCAATCAGGGAAGAGCAAGGCAAACACACACCAAATTAGGAAAGTCAATACTGGAGGGAGGGAGGGGGAGGAGGAGGAGGAGGAGGAGGAGGAGGAGAGCTGAGCTAATGAAAACAACCTCCCAGCGCAGGAAAGGAATAGGAGCGAAGCGCTGAGCCTTGCCCCAGCCAACAGCATCTGGCCTCGGCCTAAGCGAGCGCAGAGCTCGGGGAGGCGGCTGTCCTGTGGTTCCCGTTTGGGAGGCCTGGGATCTCTGCTCCAGCAGGACTACCCAGATCTCGCTCATTTCCTGAAATGCAAGACAGGATGTGAGAGGGGAGAGAAGGGGGCCGCCAGCAGAAAAGGGATGTTTACAAACACAGCAGCCCCCAGCCCCCACCAGCAGGAGGAACTCGAGAACGAAAGGGATTCAGCCAGCGAAACCTCAGGAAGTCTTTTGAGGTTTTTCAAGATGCTGTTGGATTTGCTTTTGCTAAGACAAACGGCTGTAATCATGCATCATCTTTAGTAAACACCCCATTTGGGACCAAGCAAGATTCAGCACTACTATTTCCACTTTCGCCTGATGCACAGAAACATTCTCGTGGAGTCAAATATCACTTGCAGACATATGCCAGAGCCAGAGATACAGCCGCTGCTAGTAACATAAACCACACTGTGCTGCCTGACACAGGATGACTGAATGGAAACTACCATATGTTGGCAAAGAAACCATCGCCCTTCCCAGTAACTTGCTTAATCTAAAAGAGGAGGTTAACTATAAACTAAAAGTGCTCCCTGAACAGAGAGCTCAAACTACAACTATTACCAACTGCCCCCCGCCCCCCACCCTGCCCCTAGAATATTTACAATGAACATCCAGGCAATTTTGCAAAGAGGGGGGGAAAACCCACATAAGCAACATGCTGCCAATCCCATGCCAAGTCAAATGCAATCTTCATTACAACACCCAAGATATTCTCAGCCACATGCATTTTATCATTACTAATTGAACCATCACTAACACAAAAAACAGGACTCCGTTGTGCATTATCTCATTTTACAAAACAGTGAGTAAGCAGACCAAAAAAAAAGTATCAAGGCTACTGCATCACCAGATATACTTTGGCCTTTGTTTTTATTTTTTGCGGTGATACATTCTATTATACTAGTAAATGTACTGTACTACATTATGTCCAATTAATAGAGTTTTAGGATTATGAAATCCCACTTCATTACACTATAAGCTTTGCTGAGAAACAAGGAGACACTACCATTTCATGAGAATTCTTGCATCTCCCAATCAGCCAATTTCTACCTGTACATTTTTTTAAAAATAAACTACAGGACAGGAACTGTATATTAAAACACTCATAACTCTGACGTCTACCCACGACCCCCTTCCTGATTTCGATTCTACCCCACCCCCCACTCTATTTTGGCTCTAACTCTGCACATCACTTTGGATCCAATAAAACAAATCAACAAAATATGACTGAGATAATGAAAATAAACTATACAATAATAAATAATGCAAAACGGCACAAGCAAATTTAGCAGGGCCCTCTTGATGGAGTAGACCCTCAAGACTGGTTTCACTCTATGCCTATGTCTCAATGTTTTGCTCTACACATTTATTCTCCAAGTGTTTTGGGATCTTAAACAAATCCTCCAGCCACACTGAATTTTTCTGTTCACTTTTAAGTCCTTTCCGTGATCTGGAACATCAGATATGCATTTAAAGCTATTTGCAATGGGAATTTCATACATCGAGTATACCAGATAAAAAAGTCCAGGCCTGACCAGGTTCGGCACCAAGAGAATATGGATGGACTCTGGATAATATGGAAGGATGGGAGGGCACCTCCCTGGATCGCCAGCATCTTACCTGATAGTGCCAGTAGGGGACGGCAGGGGGCTGACCAAACTCCGGAGATCCGGCTCCGGAATGTGGATCTTCAGAGGCGATATCTGAGGGTAAAGTGGCCGGAGTGGAGGGGATGAAGCTTGCTCCTTCACTTCCTCTTTATGGTATAAAGATGTGAACTGGATCTTTATGACTGTGCTAGGAAATCGGAAAGTACACCTGCAAGGAGACAGAAAAGAGAGAGAAAGGGTCAGTGTCCTAAGCGTAAGCCAGCTGGATGAAACAAACAAATACTTGCCATAAAACATTAATTAATCTGCACAGCACTAATGAACTACCACTGCAAGACTATACCTCTCTTTCCAGCGTCTTCCTTTGCATAACACTAGATTACTTGAATATTCATGAAGCCCTGCAGCATCCCTGGGAGGTAAATGTTATTAGACCCATTCTACATATAAATCAACAGAAGCTTGGAAAGGGTAAGTGACTTGCCTACAGCCATGTATTTGATCAAAGGCCAAGCAAAAACTAGAACCCCAAACAGCAAATCCCCAGGCTCCTGCTCTAACCACTAGGATTAGAGTCCTTGCCATTTGTATTTTACAAGCTTCACTGCCAAATACTTCACAGAAGCCTTCCTCAGCAGGGTACAAGTTACTGAAAACACAGAATCAAAGTCAACATACAACCACACAAAGCAGATACCAAGCAACAAGCCCTACAACCTTAATGTGTGGCCCAGACAGCAGTTCTTACATACCACACGTAAACAGTTCTTACGGATCATCCCACACGCCACAGCACACCAGGCAGATTAAACCACAAGGCCTCATGAAGCAATGCTAATCAGCCATCATTCACGCTTCTGATCAACAGAAGACTTATTCAGCTATATAGCTATGGCCTAGGCTGTCCAAAGGGACAGGGCACAGGGGAGAGAACCAGTTTTCTATATGTAGCACATATTTAGACACAAGCCTTAATTCAGCCCCAGAAGAGCAATGGAAGTTAGGAGGAAGTGAACCCTCCAATGCTTTCTATACTCAAAAGAAAGGGTTTTTTTGATGTACAGGCTCTGCAACATTCAAGTTATAGCAGTCAGTATGTCATCTATTCTATTCCACCTTCCTGTATGTCCAATTAGGTAATAATGTGTAGTCAATACAAGCTTCTCATGGATTGCTGAGGGACTGAATCTGCTGGGACCAGGCTCAGGGAGTGGCAAAGGCCAACAAAGCAGTGCCCATGGCCTTGTCTACAAAGAGAAAAATTACTCTTGCACCAAAGTTGTGCGCTTACAAACAAAAGCCCTGGCATGGACTAGCCACAGGGTGCTGAACACCACAGGACTTTAGGTGGCAACAAGAACGCCTGAGACTGACCTAAGTTTGTACTTCTCCACTGATGAAGGAGAACAACTGAATGCCAGCACAATGGTGACAAAGATTTCCCTCGATATCTCCGAGCAGATGAAATCAGCTCCTTCCCCAGGGGGCTGTTCAGGAATCAGGCATGACTAGCAGTCAGGCATGTGAAGCTCATCCTCCTCCCCATTTCATCTCTCAAGTGAGCTTGCTCAGCACTCAATGGCTTGAAAGCACAATGGCTTTGCTAAGTACTGCAAGGGATTTGCATTGTATTCAATCCACTTCAGAAGCCCTGCCACCTGCACTTGTCAATACATTAAAGAGCAGAAAAATCAGCATTGGCAATGCAGCCCAGCCACGTTTATCTAACCTTTCAAGACATGGTCCCCTGCAGATTTGCTGAGAGAGAACAATTTGACACAATAGACTGTTGTATCCCTGCAAGGTGTCTGCTGGTAACAAAACCCAGCAAGATCAACCCACAACAGGGCTGCTGAAACACCCAGGGTCCTAAGCTTTTGTACACTGAGTTTGCTCACAGAAAGCAAGAGTATAACTCTACACCCAGCACCACAGAATAGGGACAGTAAACACAGTGTTAAGCCTTTCCTCCCTGCCGACTCGTTACTGAGGAAGAGCTGAGCTGTCTTTCACACAGTTGGGGAAGTCTGCATCATTACAAAGCCAGATGCCTAATGCATCTCATCATATGAGTCAAGGATGAAGAAATACATGTTAACTAAGGCTTTATTGCTTCCAAACTGCTGCTGATCTCAACAGGTTTAACTATACGCAGTCTCATGGCATTGCTGCAGCCCAGACTTCCTACTTCAGTCTCATCTGGAGCGCATTCAGTGTTCCTGCATCTCCTAATGCATTCCAGTGGCACACTTTTCCTGCAGAAATGCCTTGGAGTGAGGAATTTGCTGACCCCAATTATATGATTTTTAGCCCCTCGATTCCTTGTGGGCGACCCTATGATCTTCTCCCTGCTGTGTTTTATTAGTGCCGTTTATGTTACCTGCACAATACCCTTTCCTCTGAGAGACAGTTTCAGGCTGCAAAACCTCAGGCTGGAAGTAAAGGAAATCTTTACAAAGTCTCTTGTCCTTTATGAAATTATTACTAAGCAATCAGAGGTAAATGCTGTATGCGTTACAGAGCATGGCCTATTCCTTGACAAAGTGGGTGTGTCTACACATTTGTTAATGTGCTATAATTACGGTGCATTAAGTTTAGTGCCTGTAATAACAAGTACTAAATTTATGTGCCTTGATCGGCACTACTGCGCATTAGTGCAGATGAACGTTTTTTGTGTGTGATGCTTAATGCTCGCTGGACTAATCATGCACATCAGTGCATGACCATGGCTTTTGCCAGCTGTGCTAATGCACAGTAGAATTAGTTCAGTGGGAATTAAGCGTCTTGTGAAGATGTGCCCAGTGTGTGTAAAACAGAACCCCTCAACATAGCTGCAGGTCAGGCTCAAGCAGAAGCATTCAGATTTAGTCAAGTAACTCACCCAGAATCTCAACCTAGAAGGGAGGGAATAGGGAGGGATGGGCTGGAGTGCCAGCAACAAGCAATCTGTTTGCTGTTGTATATTCATTCTTAGAAAGCCAGACTCCTCTCTCTGCTGGAGCAGACCCCATAGGCTACACCCACTTCTGACACACATTTTCTTGCTAGCGTATTGATGAACAGTTCAGCAGAAAACTTGGTTGCAAAAAAATTAGTGTTGGTTACATATAAATGTATTTTACTTAGCACAGACTAAGTCTGCACTAACTTTTCATATAAACTTTCCATCACATCAGCTCCACTGGTGATGGGAATGGTACCAGCACTGACATGGGCAGAGCCCCATATGGCTTCCAATACCTCACTCCCTGGCTTAAACATGGTTAAAATATCCTGGTTGGTTTAATACTACAGGAATCCCATTTTAATTTTATCCTTGCTACACACAAACATAGCTATGTTTTTCCTACTGTAGCCATAGCATATGGGACCAACACTGAACAGAAAGCTTTCTTCACTCCCCACCTCTACCTCACCAGTCCAAAGAGGCTCAGATGGCTTGGGGCATCTGTCCACAATTGCCATTACGGTTTGATTCTGTTTAACAACCAAATCAACTATCAGGACATGGCCTACCCAAACTAGAATAATGATAATCCACAAGGCCTGATGCAGTGTTTCACAGCAGTATGCAAATTTGATTGGCATTATGGACTTGTATCAGCAAAAGAGCAGCTAGAGAATCATAGAAGTAGGGTCGGAAGGGACCCTGTAGATCTTCAAGTCCGACCCCCTGCCTGGGCAGGAGGAAAACGGCTCAAATGACCCCAGTCAGGTAGGCATCAAGCCTCTTCTTAAAGACCCCCAGGGTAGGAGCCAGCACCACTTCTCTTGGAAGTCGGTTCCAGATCCTAGCCGCCCTGACTGTGAAGTAGTTCTTACGGATGTCTAATCTAAACCTACTCTCCAACAACTTGTGGCCGTTATTCCTTGATATCCCGGGGGGTGCTAGGGGAAACAAGGTCTCCCCCAAACCCTTCTGGTCCCCCCTAGTGTGTTTATAGATGGTCACCATGTCCCCCCTCAGCCTTCTCTTGTGAAGGCTGAACAGGTTCAGGTCCCGTAGTCTCTCATTGTAGGGCCTGCCCTGCTGTCCCCGGATCATGCGGGTGGCCCTCCTCTGGACCCTCTCAATGTTGTCCACATCCCTCTTGAAGTGGGGTGCCCAGAACTGGACACAATACTCCAGCTATGGCCTGACCAGCGTCACGTAGAGGGGGAGGATCACCTCCTTGGACCTACTTGAGATGCACCTGTGGATGCACGATAAGGTCCGGTTAGCCCTGCCGACCGTGACCTCGCACTGTCGGCCCATGTTCATCTTGGAGTCAAGGATGACTCCAAGATCCCTTTCTGCCTCCGTGCTCTCAAGAAGGGAGTTTCCCATCTTATAAGTGTGCTGCTGGTTACTACTGCCCAGAAGAAATTGTCTGTCAGAAACATACATGTGTCCCCATGAATTTTTCACCAGCAAAAACTGTTTCTATTTATGCAGTAAGTGAGCATACTTTCTTTGCCAGAGTTTTCTAATGTTCTCCTAATTGACACTCCAACCCCGCCTAAAATAAATCCACTGTAAGCTGACATCTAAGCTTAGGAAACCTACAGAATGAGGGAACCGGAAAGAGCAGGCAGCCTATATCAATATGGAAAAATTAGGGTTCTGTAAAGCAAGAGCCAATAGGGCAGACCACACAGCAATATTGCTTCAGGGCTTTGCTTGCTTTAGTTAAAGGTTTTTAAAATTACTTCTTTAGAAAGGAGTTGTAGTATGATTTGTGCTATATATGGTCCGATACGTGGTTATTACTACTTCCTTTTTTCTTTTCTTTTTTCTTTTTTTTTAAATGAAAATGTACAGCCACTTTGTGAAAGTGAAACTGCACAAAATAAAAGTGTGTTGAAGATGGAGATTCTCACAGCATCCTAAGACCAGCTCTTCTGACACCTGAAATTCCCAGCTGATCTGTGTCACTATATGATCTGCAGAAACAACTGGTCTTGCAAAAGCATGGGCACAGTGTATAAGCCAAGGAAAAGCGATTGCTCACTGTCTAACACATGGCAAATCTCAGAGCTACAGCTCTGCTACTCAAGGCAGGATACAGAGGGATACAATCTACCATCACAGAAAGGCTTCTGGCATCAATAAACAAAAGAGACAAGCGGCTTTTTCTAAGATTTCCTAGCCGCTCCCCTCACCCTGACAACACAGCATACATGTGATTAGGCAACTTCATGTGGTGAACCAGTGATGGTGACCACAAGCATTTCATGTACGTAAGGTCTGAAAATAAAATGCTAGGAAACACTAGACTTTACATAAACATTGCCCCCCTCCTTGAGCCAGACGGCAGAGAAAATGGTTACAAGGCAAAGAAGCCACTGAAAAGTTTCCCCAATGAGTAATTCTATGTAAAAATCAGAGGAATGGCCTCTCCCAAAGTGTCCGCTATTCATACATGTGGAAGAAACTAATATGCATTAGCCAAAATACAGTCCTAACAAGAAAAAAAAAAAGAATATTGTTGCCATTAGCTTCTTTGTAAAGAGATCACTGTGCGTCTACCAATAACTTCTGTTAAGATCTGCTACGTACCAGGAAAAAGAGATTTTAAAAAGGACAGGAAATAATATTTGGAAGTATAGACTAGAATTATTCATGTTTTTTATTTCTAGATGTTCAACATAGGAAAAGCCCAATAATGAAATAAACGCAACACAGACTTTGAAAGATCTGAGAGAGAGAAAAAGAAGAGAAAGCACCGCATGTCTTATAGTCTAATGAGAGGGAAACTAAAGTTTATTGTACACAGCAAAGACTAAAACTTATGTTGTAGGTGCATTGCACATTACTCTCATCACTAGCTAGGAAGCATCTTTTACCCATCATCTCATCATGAAATATGCCCCCACCCCACGTATTACAATAATGAAAGCTCTGGCACTACTGCCATCAGAATATCACAGCGGCACCAAGCTGGGGTGGGGAAGGGGCCACGTTTTATATGACGTGCTTTTGGGGACTCTCAAAAAGCCCAACTGCTCACAGCAGGTTGCTGTCTTATCTCCATGTGCGGTGTGCCAGACAAATCTGTGGCATTATTAAATAAGTGTTTACCTTCATTAGATTTTGTCAGGTTCGCTGCCAGTTATCTTGAGATACCCAGTACTTTGCTAGGAGGTTGATGTGGAGACTTCTTATACTGTAGGCTGATCCCTAGGATAAATACCCACGTCTGCATCCTGAATCAAACATGCAGGGATCGTCTACAACATCCTTTACAAACATACGTAAGTACTAGAGGTGCACCAATACATCAGCTGCATATCAGGTCGGCACTGATACCAAGAAAAGTTAAAATTATCGGCAATCAGCTTTTTTTGGATGATAATGTCACTGATAAATGCTATGTTGGGGGGGGG